GAAGAAGAAGAAGAAGAAGAAGAAGAAGAAGAAGAAGAAGAAGAAGAAGAAGAAGAAGAAGAGAAAGAAGAAGGTATATTTTCAGTTTTAAAGAAATGTCAGATTGATGATAGTGTTTCAGCAGGGCCAAATTAGTACCACCAGATATTATAGCTAGTGCATCCTTATGGTGACTAGAGTTTTTTTTTGTTTGTTTTTAATAAAGATTTTGCAAGGAAACAGTAGAAATTATTCAAGATATAACTGCAGGTTGAAAAAAAAGTACTTCCCAATTACTTAGAAAGGCCTGATTTAGTGCCTATGTATGAGGAATATGATGTCCTCTGTTAACTGATAAAGAACTAATCCTTTATGACCGATACAAACCACAACAATGCCTTTGAGAATTCATCAGATAATCTCTACTGTACCCAGAACATCATCACATTGTTCACCTTCACCCAGATGTAACAATGACCCATAAAAAGTTAAGAACAAAGGTTTTCTAAATGTCCGCATACTAAATCTTCATAATGTCCGATCTGTATGAAATTAAAAGTCCCATAATAGAGGAAGGCAAACTACTGTGAAAACAGGATAAAGGACATGCCAGCCCCATCATACTATCTACTACTAGATTTTTCTCAAAGATGTTTTAATGACCCTGTGGAAGATGAGCTTGTTGTCCAGTGGATAGAAATCAGAGAAACAGAGCAGTTGAGAGCTGGAAGGAGTCTAGGGGGTCATTCAGTCCTATCTGGTCATTTTATGTGCAGCACATGCTCTACCCTGAAGCTACTTCCCAACCCTTCATTCTCACTGAAGGCTAGGTTTCCAGAGGTCAGCTGCTATTGGTCTCCTCAAGCTAATGCAAACACACTTCCTGTCTCCTCAGGGAGATATTGGAGCCATGTTTATACCTAGTGAATAATTGAGACATATTCTCACCTACTAAATGTATTAGAACTAAAGAGAGTAGGGTGATGCCTTTCAGATAAGGAAGCAAAGGCCATAAGGGCTGCCCAAGGTCATGCAGATAGCTTACAGAGCTCGATCTCCCAACTATGGGACCAAATATTAACATCGTAAAGATGTTACCCCTGTAAAACAAATGACGTGCTCAAAGCTCAACCTTGTCACCACTGCCTCCATGAGACCTTTCCTGATATACCAGGTCTTCCTTTCTTCTAGTGCCTTCTCTCCAAAATTATATGCTTTTTACTTGAAAGGCAGGGTATTGATCATTGGAATTAGAGTTAGGAAGACCTGAGTTCAAATCTTCTTTCGCATTTGTATCCCTTAGTATCTAGAACAGTGCCCACAACACAGTGGGTGTTTAATAAACACTTACTGACCAATTGATCCTCCATGAAGTCACATTGGCTCTTCAAAGAAACTGCCATGGTATAACATCCACAAATTTCAGTCTAATATTATTCTTGAACCTTCAGGGATTAGGAAACTTTAAAAAGTGGGAAATATTCCTCTTTAATTTTTTTGTGTTTAGAAATTTTAGAAACTTTAGAAATTTTCTGTGTCAGAGGCAAAATTTAGGGGTTAGGGTTAGCGTCAGAATCAACCACAAAATATTAAGTAGACATAGAAGGAAGCTGGTCTGTGTTCCTGGGGGAGCATTCCCATCAGCTCTTTCCCAGAGGGGGAAGAAGGAGATGCTTGAGGGGAAGGGGAAGGACCGATAAGAACATAGTCTCACTCAAGGATGTGCTATCATAATGAGTCCTGGCTCTATAGACCCCCTTCCATATCAAATAAATGGGTTGTGTGTGTTATTTTTTGTCTCTTAAAGAGAAAGAACCTTAATTACCCAGACAAGATAAACTGGCATGATCACAGAGGAAAGCAACCAAGATGGTGAAGGCCCTTGAGATCATGCCAGATGGTTTTAGTTTAGGACTAGGGATGTTTAGACTGGGTTAGAGAAAACTTGGAAGGGCCATGACAGATGTCAGCTCCCAATTGATATGTACCTGATTGTTCCATAAGATCATATTATGGATTTCCAGATGGAAGGGACCTTAGACATCATCAAATCCAACTCCCTAATTTTACAGATGAGAAAAATGAGAAAGTCCTGGTTTCTCATTTAGGTTAAACTATTTGCCCAGGATCAGAGAGTTGGTAAACAAGTGTCTAAGGCAGGATTTGAAGTCATCCTCCTGACTCTAAATACAGTGCCCTGTTCACTGTAGCATACCACCTCTATTCTCAAGAACCTGCCTTCTTTTCTTTCCTCTGCAATGGCCAAGAGTATGTACTCAAGAAGGGGAAATTGAATGAGAGACTTATCTATAGCCTGTAGCTTGATGAACTGGGGAAAGGCATCCAAATTTAGTAGGAGTTACCAGACTCCTCATCAAGAAGGGATATATGTGTATGTACGTGTATACATACGTGTGGATATGTGTGTATGTATATATATACACATATTATATATATATGTATGTGGATTTATGCTAGAGAAATAAAGTATCAACTGGAAATATGTTTAAGCAAGAATTAAAAACTGTGTGACCCTGGGCAAGTCACTTAACCCCAATTGCCTTAAAAAAATAATTAATGAGAAGTCTTGAACAAGGAAGCTTGCCCCAATTTTTTCCTCAATTACATTGATGAATGCAAAAGAGCCACAGGAGAAAAGACCTAACCAGTAAAGAGAAATGGAGCATGTGTTACAAAATCCCTTTTTCAGTTATTTTAAAATATTTTCCTTTCTACAAAGCCAAAAAGCTCATGATGGATGCAATTCATAAACCTTTATTTGAAGGAGTGATGAAAAGCCAGACAGACAGCATACATGCACATCAGCCAAGATGTCAGCATCTGGCAGATGTGAGAATGAACAGGTAATCAACCTTTTTCTCTGGGGCCTTGTGTTGTCTTTCCTCAAATTCCCAATGATACACTGACTATTTGGACATGCCTGACATCTTTATTATACCCTCCAAATACTTAGCTTGGCATCATTTAGCTGGAATATGGCTTACTTTGCTTTGAAGATTAAAATAATTATTTAAGTGTTCAGGATAATTAATGCCATAACTCAATTTGAGTTGAAATGATTTTCCCAAGGCTTTCATTAATCCATAGTCAACACCAGGACTCCATTGTTTTAAAAAGAAGGTCCTAATTGATCATTTAGCACAAATTAAAGTTGTGAGTTGTCTTTTCCAGGACCTCTTTCTGTTGCTTCCAGTTTTTGTGTACAACATGTGTATGGCTTAAAAGACCCATTTTTAGAACACTTTCTACCCGGAAACCATGAAATCCTCATAGAAGCAGATTGAGGAATTCATAACCACAGCTCTTGGTTGCCACCTAAAGGTCTCTTATTTTGCTTCCAACAGGACCTCCCATGCCTGTTTTCAGGGAGACACTCACTGCCTGTTTCAGGCAAACTGTCTCACAAACAATATAGTCAAAAGTTACCACAAGCTAAGGGCTTTCCCATGGAAGACAGAGATTTTTCCTGCTCGGTCCCGAAGAGTTGAAGGAGGAACAATGAGCAGAATCTACAGAGATGCAAATTCCAGCTTTCTGGCAAAACAAAATAAAGCTTGCTAGCAATTAAAGGGTGATGGATGGGCTCAGGATGTGGTGAGTTCCCCTTTGCTGGAGGTCTTCAAGAAAAGGCTGGTTGACCACTTGTCCAGTAGATGGCAAATGGGTTTGTGTTCCCATGTGGCTTGGATTAGATCCAACCCAGCAGAAGTTCCTTCCAACTCTGAGACTGTGATTTTTTTTTAAATTTAAACATCTCAGCCTCCACTGTTCTTAAAAAATAGTTCTGGTCACCATTCCGTCTACTATTATGATTACCCTATTTGATAGTAAAGCTCATGGCCACCTATGTGCTCTGATTCTTGATTCATTCAAATAGTCATATGATTTGATTTAATGGTGGAATGAACCTCAGAGGCCACGAAACCCAACCTTTTCATCTAACCCTCATTAGTACAGTGTCTGAAATATAGTATTTGTTTAACAAATGATTATTGATTGATTAACAGATGAGGAAACTGAGGCCTACAGAGTTTAAGTGTCTTGCTCAGTCTTACATGGTTATTAAGACAGGATTTGGACATAAGTCTTCTTCACTCTACACCTAGGTTCTAACTACTGCACCACCAGGCTGCCCTGTTAATTTGCCAATTCTTTGTTAAGGGGCTGACATAATGGCTTGTGAGTTTCTCCAGAGATGGAAAAGTTGAAGACTTGCTATTTGCCTCCAAAGAGACAAATAATAAGGCCTTAATTAAGAATGAATATTACTTGGTTATATTATAATAAATAATCTACATTAATGTATTATATTATTAATGTTACCATATTATACAATGGATTATATTATTAACACTATCATGTCATTATATCATTAAGAACCATTAAACAGCTAGTAATATAATGAATTATAATAATAGAGTAATAGGTGACATCTTCATAGTACTTTAAATGTTGCGAGAGCATAGTTTCATTATTATGTAATGAATAATGTAGACCAATATAGTATGTTACTTATTATATCCAACACTTATCCAGCAAGTGCCTGACACATAGGTGCTTAATAAACATTTATTAATTGATTGAAATGAGAGAGTATATGTAAAGTAATACATATCATTAGTAATAATTTAATTAATGACAATATTATAACAAGAGCTGATATTTGTAGAGCACTTTCAAGGTTACTAAAAATATTGCATACTTGCTAACCTTTGAATTTTAGTTATTTAAGTAGCAAAAAAGGCAAATCTTTGTTTTTCATATTCTTTTTAATAATATCATAGATTGGCTGGAGCAAACCTAGAAGAAATTGAACAAAGAGGAATATTTCCCAATCTTACCTTGCCAATTTTCATAAGTTAGGACCTTAAAATGGTTACTGGGATTTCGAGATCATTCATGATGGTCTTTCTTGAATACCTCTACTTCTTGGCTTCCTCCTCTCTGCCTGGGATTGTTCTAATTTTATGCTAACTTTGACTCACCCACTTCTTCCCTTTCCCTTCAGAAGACATGCCAGTTGTGTCAGACTGACGGCTGGTCCTCCCTGCCATTCTATTACGGATGTTGTAAAGCCGTAGCGATCCCGGAAGGAGCAAGATGTGACACGTGTTCCTAACTTCATATTCAGAGGTTAGGGAGGTTCCCTCATGGTGTTCTAATCTGCCTTCTGCCAGGCATGTGGCACCATTCACCGTGAGTTGGCTCAACTTTTCAAAGACTCCTTTATGCCCTTTCCCAGTACAACCTGACAGTTAGCATTTCTATCTGACTTCTTACCTGTGTCGTAAGAATGACCAGCCCTTACTGTCCCTCAGAGGAACATCCAAGTTACACTCCATCAAAGAGAATCTCTCCTAATTTGAGATTCCCTTCTATTATATCATTTTTTAATGGTAACCAGTTAGCAATATCATCATAGCCCTTCTCAAACCAACCGAATTTTCAGATTTATGATAAAATTTGGTCTTTATAAAATTAATAACTGGCATTAATATAGCCCCTTAAAATTTACAAAGCTTAAATTTTCTCATTTCACAAAGACCCAGTCTTCTAAGAAAACTTAGAAGGCTTATGTCTCATCCCTACCTAAATAAAATTCCTCTCCAATTTCCAGTATGGTGGTAGTGAGATATACATGTAGAGAATATTTGTGGTCAAAGAGTAAAGTTCCTGGTTACTGGGAGTCATTTTCTCCCTTCAAAGAATGCCAATAAACTTCCTCTTGAGTGCTGCTATCTTCTGAGCTCTGAGAGCTGGTGCTTCTGTTAAGTCCCCAGTCAGAATTGCTCTCTCCATGGGAAGTCTCATTCTCTGAAGTTATCATCATTCTTAGATAACTGTTTTTACCTGCAGGCTCTCCCTCTGGCGTTGGCCATTACCACCACTCTGGCAACTACTGCCTCCTGTCACCTGTGGGGAAGGGGCAGAGCTCCTCTGACGGACTTGGCTGGAGCTCTTTCACCATGATCTTGACCTGCTGCTGGAGTCAAGGATTCCATACCGGCTCATTACTTTACATGACAGGACCAGAAACAGGTCTCGTCCTTTCGGTAGGTGACAAGAAATGATAGTCTCTGCACGGCATCATGTCTCTTTATTCAGTGATCAAAGTACTTTATTCTTATCAATTTGGCTAAGAATTTATTTGCTCCTAGTTTACACTTTTTACTTATTGGTTGGTTGATTAAACTAAGAAGCACTGAGGGGCTGCAAGTGGAAAAAGTTTAAGAAACCCTGGTCTAGACCAGCTATGATTATATTCATTAGGTTGTAATGGAAACCCCCACCCTTACACAGGGAAAAAGAAACCAATCATATTGGCATCAACACAGAGTGTGTCAATGAGAATAATATTCAATAAGCCTGAAGAGGCAGAACGGAACCAAGTAGAGGAGACTTTGTATTTTATGATATAGTCTCTAGCAAGACATTGGAACTTCTCGAGTAGGGCTCATTTGGAGAATGGACTGGCTAGGAGAGTAACTTAAGGATGGCAGAACAATTAGGAGCATATTGTAATAAGGAGACAACTGATGATTGGCTGAATTAGAGTCACGAACACGCGAAGGGAATAGAGTCAGGCAGTTATGTTGTAAAAGTAAAATAGACAATATTTTACAACTAATTGAATTTGGGAGGTAGGGAAGAGAATTGGCTGCAGACGTGGAATTGATAATGCATTTAAAGGGCCATAGCCAAGCAAGACAGACTAATCAACCTACCCAAGGCCTCACAGCTAGTAAGTATCTGAAGTCAGATTCAAACTCAGATCTCCCTGGCCCCAAAGCTTTATCCACTGTGTCAATGAAGCAGTGATGCAGGATTACCTAGAAGGACGCAGCATCCTCCTGGTCTCCCAGGCTAGCAATCTCAGTGTCATCTTCTATCCTCACTCACACTCATCTCCTAAATCCTACCTGTTTCAGAGTTTTGTCACTTCACCCTTCACATGACATTTCTCACTTATGTCCATTTCTCTCCACTCGGACAGTCATTACCCTGGTTATCACATTATGCCTGGACTATTGTCATAGTCTTCTGATTTGTCTTCTCTCCCCAAGTCTCCTTGTCTTTTACCCAGCTTCAAGTGATCTTCCTAAAATACAGATATGATCATGTCACTTTCCTATTCAGTAAACTCTAGTTCCTTCCTATTACCTCTAAGATTCGGTATAAAATCCTCTGTTTGGCTTTCAAAGCCCTTCACAACCTGGCCCCCTCCTGCCTCTCCAGTCTTATTACACACATGCACACACACACAAATATACAGATATGCATATGTGTATATACATACACACACGTGTATACGTATATGCCTTCACATATGCACATGTGCACACACATACTTACACACATACATCCTACTTATCCCTCATGTTTGGAAAGCTCATCTCTCCCTGTCTCTTCCCTTCTTGACTTCCACTGATTCCTTTATGTCCATATTCAATCCAGCTTCTTCAAGAGACCTTTCCCAGTCTCCCCACTCGATATGATGACTTCCCTCTAAGATTTCCTCCTACTGTATAAACTTGAAAGTATGTAGCTATTTGCATAGTTTCCCTCATTGGAATGTTCCTTGAGGGCAGGCTTAGCACAATACCAGGCATATAGTAAATGCTTAATAAGTGTTTATCAATTAATTAACAATAGATTCAATTAGTTTCCTACATAGACCCCTAAAAACATCCAAAATAAGATAATATTCGGATGGATTTATTTCAAAACTTGGCTCACTTCAGCTGAAACACTATCATTTGCTCACCCTATGGTTCATCCTTTGTTGCTCCTTGGACGAAAGAGCTCCCTCATAAAAACAATTATTTTTCATTTTCTTGGGTGGGAAATATAATAGACATGACATAGACTGTTATTACATTAAACACTTTAGTTACCTGTGCATGAAAGTATGTCTTTGTTCTGTGTACCAGGACAATAGCCTAGTGTTAGAGATTTTCTTTAAAACTGAGATTTTTTAAAATTTTAATTTGCACAATGACAAAACTATATTTCTTGACTTTTGCATGTTAAAATGGCTTTGTGTTAAAGACACTTTTTTGGTAAAAGAAAAAAAAAGAAAGGAAGGAAGGAAGCACAATTCCACTCACCATTAAGTTGTACTTTTATTGTATGGGATATTTTTAAAAGATGTGAGACTGTATTTCTTGCCATTTTCTTTCTTTCCCTTGGGGGGAAATAGCAAACAGTTTCAGCACATATTGGGAGAGAGCCCAAGGCAAATCAATTAACTTCCCCCCCTTCACCTTTTCAGCTTACAGGACTCTCAGTCTGCCAATGTATCAAACATCATTTATTAAATGCTTACTCTGGGCCAGGTACCTAGCCAAGTAGGCACATATTGATAAATGAAATGGATCTTACCTTCAAGAAGCTTCCATCCTAATGGGGGAGACACTGTTTCTAATTATGGCTATGTAAACTACATACAAAATAAATACAAGATAAATTAGGTTGGTTTCATCTCAAGTCTGAAGAACCACTAGGACCAAGGTGCAGAACTGGGAGATGGGTGTCCTAACTAAGTCACAAAACCTAGTCTGTTTGGACGATATTATATGGGAGTGAGAGTACCTCTTGCCCATATCTGCCTATCACCTGCTCTGGGAGTCTGTGCTGTGAGACAGATGATGCCCTTTGCAAAAACAAACAAACAAACAAAAAAACAAACAAGCAAGAAACTAATTTTTTTTTAAAACTGCATATGAAATGTGAAAAATGATTTCTCTTGGTAATCTGTGTTTTGGAGACTCAGAGTTCCACCCTGCCAGTCTTCTATCCAAAGTTGTTCAGAAGAACATCTCTGTTAATGAAATTGCATTGAACCTTCTCATCTTGGTCAAACTCAACCCAGACCTGGTTGATTTTATCCTACTCAGGCTTGGGTGGAGACTGACACTACTGCCCAGAGAGATAGAGTCTGGGAGTGGTCTGGAATGATGGCGGGTTGATAGGAGCACCAGTTGAAAGGGTATATAATGCTGTATCCCAAAATCCCAAACCAAGTCAGTTCTGAACTGCCCCCTTAGGGGGGCCCAGTTTTGGACTGAACTCCCATGCAATGCATGTCAAGCCACCTTGGGAGAAATTAAACTATAGACACATATACCCCAATTTGGTTTATCTCTTTCTTCAAGCAGACTCTGTTTCAAACTGGGGTTCATGGGGTTTGGGGTTCATGGGGAAAAGTCTTTTTTAAACCTCCAATATGCTAAATAACAATAATAGCTAGCATTAATAACACCACTTTAAAGTTTACAAATGACCAAGCATAGGTTACATTATTTCATCCTCACAACAATTCTGGGAGGTAAGGGATATTATTATCCACATTTTCCAGATGAGGAAACTGAGATTGAGATAGATTGCCTTTCCTGTGGGGTCACACAGCTAGAAAGTCACTGAAGTGGGATTTGAATTCAAGTCTTGCTGTCTCTATCATTCGTACCCACTGACCCATTCCACATGTACACTGTAGCAGCTCTAGACCACAGACTTCATCTGTGCGACCAGATTCCATTATAAGGTGGTGTTTTCTGTGTGGCTAACTGACTATCGGCCACCTCCTATACCAAGCTCAAGACTGAAACACAACAAATTGCTTTTGGAAAAACCTCTGACTCAGATTTGTATTAGCATATGCTAGTAAAATAATTTGGGTGTCCAAATTCCCAACTGTACTCTGGGGAATCAATATTTCAATAATATTTTTTTTCATAGTTGGGACATTCAATTAGAAAATAGCAATCTCGTATAGCTAAAATAGAAATTATATGACTGAGGGAGAGATTTCAAATCACTTAGAATCTTACCAAAGACAGAAATTCCAAGACATACAGAGTGATAGAGATGGAGGAAATAAAGCCATTTACCTGAAAGCACAAATCCTATAAAGCAACCAAAGAAAGGTTCTCTCTGATGCAAAAGAAATCTGGAGAGGAAAGGGGGGACTAGGATTTGTTCTCTGGCTTATTTCAGTTTTTTTTTTTGTTATTGTTATTTTTTGCTTCTTTTTTCCCAGTAGGATGATAATGAGGTCAGGGACACTGGCAGGGTCAAAACAGAAATCCAACAAGACTGTTGATGAAGAGGATAATGGAAAGGCTGTCAAGAGGTCCTGTTCACCACGTACTTCCTGTGTCAAGCATGACTTGCTCCTTTGGCGTCCAATACCCACGTTCTCCTGAGGAGGGCAAGAGCTGGAAATTCTGTCCGCTTTTTCCCCTGAGATATTTATGATAGAATTTGTCAGAACAGGCCTTTTCTCTCTTCTCACCTCCTCCTCCCTCCCTGTCCTGAGCTAACCTTCTCCTTTCCTCCAGGAAGCTTTTATCAAGCCTTAGTGTCCCCCAGATGACTAACCACCAGAGCAGCTGTTTTGATTTGTTTTGTTTTGTTTTTCTTTCTTTTTTCTTTTTTTTTTATATTGACCAAATAAACTTCCTCTGTGCTGAGGCTTCCTTTTAGCTAATCCACCATTCAAGCTTTGCTGACTTAATCAACTCATGTGGTTTAGTTTTAAATGTTTTATTAATGTTCATTTTCTAAGTTTTTAATTTCATATTTATCCACAAAGTATGACCTCAGGTAATATATAACAAATGGTATCATCTGTCTGGCACATGTGATGTCTGTATTGCCAACTGTCTTAAAAACCTAAAAAGAATTAAAGCTAATTAGCATGATTAAAGCCATAATCAAATCTTCAAGAGATCTGTGATTTCATGGGATCATAGATTTTAGAGCTAGAATTCACCTCAAAGACTATCTAGTCCAACTTCAGAGTTTTACAGCTGAGGACACAAAGACCTGCCTAAGATCACACAGGTGATAATTGGCAGTTAGTTTTTTAACTTAGATTCTCCAACCCATAAGTCAGTGCTTTCTCCACAGAATCAGGCTGCCTCCTGTGGGCATTCCCATCAATAATGCAGATGGAGACCCATATGTCCCTGTCCTTCCTGCATCATTCAGTTTCTTGTCTTCCTATAAATTCACCACAAGAGATGGATCCAAAATTACCCCTCAGTCTCAGGCCAGGACTTACACCTCAGTTTTTCTTGACATCAAATGGGGAATAACGAAACACATGAGGGCTCCTCTGTTGCTTATACGTTCTACCCACCGAATGACCGGCCTAGATACATTCCTTTGCCACGGTCCCATTACTCTATTATAACGTGTTGGAGCCTGCTCCCATTCACTGTCACCTCCCCCCAACACCCCAATACTCATTCAATCCATTAAGTTTTAAAGAGACTTAATAGTCTATGACTCACAGACATACAACAACACTGGGAGAATATTGTAATTAAAACATGGGTTTTGTTTTAAGAAGTAATTTGAGATGATTATATTAATTCATTAAACCCTGATTACATGTAAATAAGTGGATTTGTTCTAAGAAAAGAACACATATCAATGGATGGCTGTTGTTTTCTGGGCCACCTTTTTTGGTAAACTCCCTGTCCCCCCCCTCCACATTGTGACCTTTTCCAATCTTTTGGAATTCAATTCAGTTGGACAAGTAGTTATCTTCCCCTCAGAGAAATCTTGTGGACCAACTCCCAGATGATTTTAAACTTGGGTTACCTCCAGCATGAGTTTCTTCTGTGATTGCATAGGTCAGGTCCAGAGACTCTTTTTAAATTCATCTTCTGAAGTGACTTTTGTTTCTAGGTCCTCAACTTTAAAAACTAGGAACAAGTCAGGAAGGGGCCAGGAATAGGCATAATTAGAATGAAACATGTATGCATGTATTTGCTGTATGATAATAATATTTATATAGTGTTTTAAGTTGTGCTTTATGTATGTTTACTTATTTGGTCCTTACAACAGTTCTATGTGACAGGTGCTACTATTACCCCCAATTTACAGATGAAGAAACAGAGGTAAACAAAAGTTAAGTGACTCATTCAGGGTCACACAGGTAATAGGCATGTAAGTTGGGATTTGACTTTCTGACTCCAAGTCTGTTGCCCCATATATCCATTAGAATGTAAATTCCTTAAGGACGGGGACTGTTTCTTTTTGCCTTTGAATCTCCAGTACTAACACGGTGTCTGGAACATGGTGAGTACTTAATAAAAGCTTGCTGATTGATTATATCCCAAAACCAAATACAATTTAAATGTTTTTTTTTAATTAATCATTTTAATTGTCATAATTTTTCCAACATTAAAATGAACTTTAATGACTATGTATGATAGAAGAGCAAAGTTGGCATATATAAGAAAGTCATTCATAACTCCTATCTTGACCAAGAAAGGGAATTTTCCATTTTAAAAAAGCTCTTTATCTCTGTGCTTTTGTAAATACTCCTTGGCATTATGACTAACTTTTCTCACTTAGCCTTGAATGACTACATAAAAATGAGCATTCCTCCCATAGGCTGAGCTGAGGAGGATGGGTTTCTTCCTAATTAAATGAACCAGGTCATTTAAAATATGCCAATCCTGAATTTTCACAAACCTCCTTCTGTGCCTGGAATTGACTCCTTGCCTCTACCTCTTAAAATGTCTAACTGCTTCCAATGTAGAGCTTAGATGCCTCTGTCTACATGATACCACTTTTCCTGATCTCAGATTCAGATGTCAGAAGATCAGGATTGGAATTTCAACTCTTGTAGTTATTGCTGGGTGACCTTGGGCAAGATATTTCATCTCTCTAGGCCTCCCTTTACTCATCTGTAAAATAAAGGAATTGGCTCTCAGATATTGACCTGAGGTCTCTCCCAACTCAAAGTCTATGGTCCTGTGATATCGTGAATTCTAGCAATTCCTTCTAAACTCAGCTTCCCTTCTCTGTGCTGCCCATATGTGTAGCTAAGCCTGGGCTCACCTCAAGTCTGCTTTCAAATAGATACTTGTTCTTTGTCAGACTATAGAATATATAAAATGTCTTAGAGGAGATTTGGAAGAAGACTCCAAGGAGGCTTTCTTTATGATGCCACCACCCTTTCCTAGATACAGACAAAGCCATACTCTCTTCCCTCCTGAGGTCCAACAATCACACATATTCACCTGGAGGCAAAACCTAAGAGGTCACCTTTGATTGTGTCTCCTTCATTGCTTACGTCCAATGGGACACCGGATCCTGCCCACTCTTCTCGTAGGATCAGAGTTTCTGTTTCTCTACTGTCATTGCCACCACTCTGGTCCAAGCCCGGATTGTCTCAAGCCTAGATGGGGCAGATGGACAAAAATGGAATGAGAATTCAATTTGGCATCAGAGGATGTGAATTCAAATCATTTCTATTTGTGGTCGGCACGGGCAAGTCATTTGACTTTTTTTTGGTTTTCAGTTTCCTTATTTGTGAAAAGAGTGAGGACTGTGTCGAAACCACGGGCACCCTCAAGGTGTTTACATTCAACTGGAGGAAAAAGTCAATACAGACTACGAGTATATAGAGTAAATACAAAGTAATTTCAGGTGGGATGGGGGGGCACTAAGAACTGGGAAGTGAAGATGAATAATTTTTGTCCCTTAAACACTTCATTTGTCATCTTTCTGCCCTTATAGACCTTAAAAAACCAACTCCCATCTTGTTAAGTACCAAGTACTGTCATCTTGGAACTCAAAAGGTAATACTGATGGGTGGCATCTTACCCCCCCAACTATTTTCCAATGCATCCCTTCTGTTCCAGTCATACAGTGTCCCCACTGTTGTGAGAACAAGTGTTGCCGCACAGCTCATTTTCACATCCATACTTTGCCTCTGAATACACCTCCTTCTTGGAACACTGCCCTCCTTTGACTTTGGTATTGATACCCTAGCTACCCACTATGATCTTCTAAGTTTTCACTGGTAATTCCAGCTAATGATATTGGTTCTTCTCCATGATGACCCACAGAACACAGGCTTTGGACCATATGTTTTGGGTATGAAGGGTAGCAGAGATGGATGTATCATTTTCTCAGGGTTTCATGAGGAAGAGAATGTAATCATGGATGGAAAGATGTTCATCTATGACCTGACTATAATATATACATATACATATATATATATATATATATATAATGTGTGTGTGTACACATACATACATACATATATACACATACATACGTACATATACTGTGCTAATAAACCTCTCTCAATATGTATGTATTCTAAAAATCTTAAGCAATGAATAGCTAATACATGGTTGGCTTTTCTCACATAGCACAGGCTTTAGCAGATGAACAGTGTCTCTGCTAAAATCTTTTATTTAAAATTTCTCCTTCATTTGTTCTATTTAATAACAGGAACACTTTTCTGCAAACAGATTGAAACATAACCAGTGAAAGGCAAGCTGCAGGGCAGAGACTGTTTCATTTTTTTTCCCTTTGTTTTCCCAATGTCTAGAACCTCACTGGCACTTCATAGAATCATAGACAGAGACCTGGAAGGGAGTTCAGAGGCTACCCAGAGTAACCCCTTCATTTCAGAGATGAAAATGAAGATGAAGATAACAAAACCCAGAGAAGTTTTGACTTTCCCAAGGTAGCAAGGGCTAGAAGTTTAGGAGCTGAAATTTGAACCCAGGTCCTCTAATTAGAAATGCAATGCCTTTCCCCTGCACCAAGCTGTTTTTAGAATTGCAGATGCATTTTAACCAAATTAAATTATTAAATAAAATAATGTATTAAGTGTTATATATGCCATACATGATTATGTAAACACTTTCATATAATTGTATATAAAACTTTAAAAGGATGCCTTGGACTAAAACAATCTGGGGGCATTTTTCTTTGATTAAAAGGACCTAAACCTCAAAGTTCACAAAGAATGCTAGGGTCAAAAACCCCTATATAAAGCCCTGTTTTCATTCTTTCTGTAAGTGTGAAAAACTCCTAAATTACCAAAAAAGGAAAGCTATGGACTTAGTAATGTTAGAGATATTTAAAAATTAGCTTTGTGCTAATAAGTTAGCCTCTTTCAATTTATTTGTTTTCGTGGATTTCCCATATGTGCTCATCATTTTTTTTCACATTTACCATTGCTAATGGAAATGTTTGTTTGTTTGTTTTTTAAACTTCATCGATGTCTAAACCAACAGTCCATGGGTGAGGAATGCAAAGAGAAATGGAAAAAGGAACTTGGAAAAGGCAATCAGCATTATCTTACCCAGAGCATTTTCAAAATCTGTCTCCAACTTTGATGGACTGTCTGTATTGGAATGCCTCCTCCACCCCACCCCTGCCTCTTTGAATCCCTCATTTCCTTCCAAGATTAACTCAAATTATCACCTTCTATATGAGGCCTTTCCTGATCGTACCAAAATGTGTTTGTATTTCCTTTGTGTATATATACACATATATGTATATATATGTGCATATATATATATATACATATAACTATATGCACTCTCTCTCTCTCTTTCTCTCTCTCCCCCTCCCTCCCTCCATTCCTCCTTCTCTCTTTCCTGTTTAATAAATGCTTATCGTCTTTTGATTCATATCGTAAAACGGAACAGGTGAGTAGAAGGACGATTTTATATTTATCTTTGTAGCTCTAGTGCTTGATATACAGTGCAGAAGGTTTTCACAGCTCTTCGAAGATGATTAAAATGAAGAGTAAGAAGAGGCTAAGGCTGCTTGAGCTAGAGCAAACAAAGTAAGTTCCACATAAAAATAACTGATATTTATATCATTTGATCTCTGTTGTCTCGTTCAGGCCTGTGAAGTGAGATCTACAGGTTTCATTACCTTCATTTTACAAATGAGCAAAACTGAGATTCAGAGAAGGTTGTGACCTGCCCACAGTCTAACAGCTTGTAGATACAAAAGGCTTGATTTGGGCTCGAGTCCACAGTACTCTTCACAACCCCAAGTTGTTTCTTGCAGAACAAAAGTTGTACTCAGTAAGAACGAGATTTCCTTCCTCCCACTTTTTTTTTCTCAGTTCTTTTTCTGAAAATGAGTGTTTTCACACTTTTTATGACATTATGAAGAACTTGGTGGAGGAAAAATAATTCTGATGATGGGACAACTGAAGCAAATGGCCACATATGATTGTTAATTCCTCTGGAGATTTTATTGACTCGTCATTTCTCTCCTACTAATTAGCATTAATAATAAAAGTGTTTTGATTTTTACATGTCTGAGACTTTCTCTCCCTTCTTCCTCTCAGTGAAACATAAGCTTCTCGAAGGCAAGGACTAGATCACTTTTCCTCTCTAGTGTTTGTATTGTTCCAAGTTTCAAATTATACAATCAATCAGTCAACAATCATTTACGAAATGGCTACTCTGCTTCAAGTACTGAGACAAAACTATTGCAAATTCCAACTTATACAATCAATCAAATACCAATCAGTTGTGAAATAGCTACCGTATGTCAAGCATTGAGACAAAATTGCCCCAAATTCCAAATTAGACAATCAATCAATCAACAATCATTTATGAAGTGTTTACTATGTGTCAAGCATTAAGGATACAAAGAAAAAAGTGAAACAGTCACTGACCTCAAAGAGATGTGCCTTCTTCAATGGGACGACAAAGAGATTATATTCTACAAGAGGACCACGTAGTAGAATAGATTAGAAAAAACAGAACTTCATTCCCCATCATACAGCTGAAACTTTGAAGCACATTGCCATTTCCTGGGACACTACTTTTCATTTGGACCTTTCAGAGGCTGTGATAGAGGAACAAAAGAAAAAAAAGGAGTCATCACATATGTACTAGAATAGAACGAGTTAGAGTGACCTTTATCAGCAAAAAGTAGCTCTGTTTGCATGGTTCACCAACTACTTTGTGAGCAGGGAAATCCTCCAGAAGTTCAGAGTTTTCTGGGGAATTCAGTTGCATTTCAAGTGCCACAAATTAAGAAATCCAAGCATTACTGACACTTTGGTGGCAAGTTAAGTGGGAGGATGATCAATGCCCAGGGAGGACTCTTCCTTGTGTCATTTTGGCTTTAGGATGAAGTCACAGAAGCTCTTTGTCTTAGTCTTTAGAATGGAGAAATGGTGATAAATGAGAGCATATTCAGCTTTTAATGCAAATATCCATTAGGTATTTACTGTGGCAAGGTGAGATACAGCATGGCACAATGCAGAAGGGTTCACATCTTGCCTTTGACACATACAAGCTCTGTGACCATGGATGGGCAAGTAACTTCTCAGCTCAGTGGACCCAGGTAACCCTCTAACATAATGCATTATCTTATAAGGGCTCCCTCCCCCAGAAAACAAACCAACAACAGTTTCTGCCCTCAAGGAGCTCCTGGGGAAGAAGAGGGAGAAGATTATGACGTGTATATAGAATTCAAGATAATGGACTAAAGGGAAAAAGTGACAGGCAAAGTGAGCTTAGAAAGATTTGAGAATACTTCATTGAATGACTGAGGGAAGATGTCATTGGAAAAAGTTGCTCCTGAGGTGAGATTCTGAATGGAGTAGATGAGGAAGGAGTTTTAGTTTAGATACAGGGAGCAGTTTGTGTGGAAATGTGAGTGGAAGAGAACACATCATTTGACCTCAGAATCCAGTGGATTGTTTCAGATTCTAAAATTAGCAGAATCTTGAAGAATGACCTGAAATAGATCCATAAACCTCCTTGTATTCCTCTTTGATACTCAGTTACTTTGGGAGAACAAAGAAACAGAAATACATCACAGAGCATCAAGGTTACAGAAAATTAGGCGGTGGCTTCAGAGGAATGATGGTAAAACATGGATAGTGGCCCATAGGTGTGGAGTGAGGCATACCTTTTTGGGGCCTGCTCATTTTGTTCAGTTGTTATCCCTGATTTGACTTATTTTTTTAAGAAGGAATCGTTCTATTTAATGACTATGGGGGGGGTTATTGGGAAGTTACAACAGGGTAAAAAAAAAAAGAAAATGATATAAATAAAACACTTTTTAAAAGAAAATTACTTAGACCTTATCAATTTCACTAAAAGCCAGCAGCCAACATTAACATTTCCCTAGAGATCATTTTTAATAGGATTTTTATTTGAATTTATATGGTGACTAAGATGACACTTTGGATTTATACAATCTGGCCTCAAAATTGATGCACAAAAAGTCTGGTCTGCTGTACTGATCTGACCTGATCCAATCCTGTGTTTGTCTGGATTGCTGAGCCTTCTTAGAGACCCATGGTCCTCCTGGGAATTATGAATTCCAATGCTTTTTTCCTAATTGTAGCACTGCAGAGTCTCAAGGGTGACTGCATTCCTAAGGTCTGCGAAATGATCTCTGAAAAGTGTGCATGCTGCCTTTTAAGATCAGGATGAAGGGTTTCCTCTTTTGGATGAGATTAGTAAGTCTGCACAAGAGCTGGGCCAAAGCATCCATGTCCTTGGGTGAGGTTTAAAATGGAAGGGGGGTTGGAAGAGCATTAAATTTTGAGATTCCCGTAGAGTGCTCTCTACCAGAAGTTTGGTTATTTCAATTCAAGCATTTTTAATCACCTACTATGTGCCAGGCAATGTGTTAGGCATTGGAAATTCAGAAGCCAAATGTTAAACAGCTTTGGGCCTCAAGGAACTTGCATTCTGCTATGGGGGAAGAAACAGGATCACACAATTAAGTTAATATAAACTATATATAAAACCACACTTGAAGAACAGCTGATAGAAGTTCCTTGTGATCACGAACTATTCCATCTTCTCTTTGTATCCGAAGCAGTTAGCGCTGTAGCTGAGACAAAGCTGGAACTTAATAAATGTTGTTTGATCAGCTGGGCAGATAAAGCGGGGTAGATTGGAGAGGAAAGAGACTGGATGTAGGGACACCCATTTGTTATCGCAGTAAGGAAGCATGAGCTGATGAGGGACTGAGTTAGGGGCAAGGCCAGGTGAGTAGAGAACATGGGATGGATGGGAAGAGAGGACATGGAGACAGAATGGACAACTGATTGGGTATAGAATGAAAATGGGAATACAGAGTAAAAGGTTGACTCCAAGGTTGAGAGCCTGGGGAACTGGAAGAATGGTGGTGCCCTCTACAGGAACAAGAAAGTTAAGAAGAAGGGTTGATTTGGGGGAAAAGCCAATGAATTCTGTTGCAGACCTGTTTCATCGTAACCCCTGGACTTCACTTACCATGAGATACCTTTGTGACACAGAGTTTGCTGATGAGTAGAATTTCTTCCAGGGGCAGGAACGCCTGAGGGCTAGAAGGCAGGACAACCAGTCTCATGAGGGAAACTGTTGCTGAGCACCTTCTGGCTTCTGTTTTCTCACCTACTCTGTGGGTAAAAGGCACAACACCTGAACTGGGGGAGTTTTCTGGGCATGAGGCCACTTAATTTGGTACATTCCACTACCTCAGGTAGCAATTAGGCAAGAGAGAACAGAGCCGCCTACTTAGCAAATATGAGTATGGAAACTATTGGTCATAAGCCCACGGGCTTTAGAGCTAGAAGGGTCTTCAGTGATCATAGAATTAGACTCCTTCATTTTCCAGAAATTTTCCAGTTTCCAGACGAAACTGAAGCCTTTAATAAGCATCATATTTGAGCTGAGAAGTCAATGTATTAGAAGTTTCAGATCTGGGGGTCAGACGCCAGCACTGCTCTTTATGATCTGTGTGACCTCAGACAAACCATGTGATCTCTGTAGGCTTAAGTTTTCCCATCTGAAAAAACAAAAACAAAAAACTGAAGAGGTTTGATTATATGCTTTCTAGAGTCCTTCACAGTTCTAGGTCCTATGACCCTATAGAAAGTACCTTCAAGACTCAAGCTCAATGCCACTTGCAGAGACCTATCAGATCCACCGACTTGTTAGGTCCTCTCCCCCTGTATTTACTTTGAACTCCGACTTTCAGGAGGAATTTAGGAAGGAGGCTTCTAGTACTTGAGAGGACCCCCTAGGGGAGGATGTGGAGAAGAGCAAAGAGGATGAGAAGTCATGGGTCAGTTGGGGTCCTCATTGTTGAAGGGAGCTTCCAAAGTAATTAGGTCACAGATTCTTGTGGGTGTGTGTGTGTGAGAGAGAGAGAAGGAGAGAGAGAGAGAGAGAGAGAGAGAGGAAGGAGGAGGAGGAAGAGGAGGAAAGAAAATGCAAAGATTCCACCCCAAGCTTCCTGCCTCCAACTCCTGTCCCTTTCCACTTCACCAGGTTGCTCAGATGGGGAAACTGATAACTTTTCTCCTTTACCTGCCCCAATAGGTCCCAAATATCGTAAGGGTTTTTTGGTGAGGGTAGTCAACTAAGAGGCAGGGGGACCTGCTAACTTTGCAAGAACATGACTATACAGCTAATACCTTTAGAAAGAAGAAAATTTGCCGGGAATGAGCGTGAGGCGGGCGAGGCTTCCAACCTGGCCAAAGTTGGAGGGTGGTAGTGTGAAGGCCTGGGGTGGGGGGGCAGGCTCATTCGCACCACTTCCTCATTTTTTTCTCTGCAGACTCTAGGTCTGAAAATTCAGCAGCTTCTCCCCGTGGCTCTGTTGCCCTCTCGATCTGAGTCCGACATCTTTCTGTGTCTCTCTGCATCTTCGAGGTCTTTCGCCTCCCCGGACCGCCAAGGCGGAGGTCTCTAAACTCCTCGTTCCTTTGGTTGCTGTGGTCACAGGCTACACTGAAGTGGGGTGAAAGCTGAGCCACCGCTTCATGATGAGGTGAGGAACCCGGGGCACTGGCGAACCTGGAGTGGAGTGACTGAGACCAGCCGGGGGAGGGGCTGGTCACAGGGGAAGAGCAGAGCAGAGGGCCGCGCACTCTTAAGCCACAGACTGCCTCCTGTCTAGGACCCTCAGAGCTGGGGAACAGGGGCGCTTTGTGTGATCTGAAGAAGCAAGAGAGCGTTGACAGCCATGGGGATCCGCACTCTGTGGGGGGAGAGGCTCCAGGTCAGCGAGGACTTCGGGACCAGCTGCGGTCTGCCCGGACAGGCAAGGCGGGGAGGCGGGCTCTGTGGACCGCTGCCGCTCAGGCAGGAGGAATGGGAGGGACACACGGGGAAGCCGATGGGGATGGGAGGGGGGAGATGTTGCTGGAATTGCGATGTGGACACAGTTCAGCCACTCTCAGACCCTGGGGTAACGGGGCGGGGGGAGGAAGGGAGAGAAAACACATACACATACATACACGCTGGGCTGAGCAAAACAAAGAAAGAGTGTGGGCCGGTGACTTCATGCTTTACCAATGTCCCGCCCACGCGCCCGCGGCCGCCGCTGCCCCAGCCCAGATCTCTGCGGCAGGCGTGGAACCCGCGCCCGTCTCTTAGCAACTGCCCAGCCGCTGAAGTTGCCTCGTCCCAGGCTGCCCCAGGGGCCTCGACGGGACGAGCTCGGCCTAGCCAGGAGCCTCTTCTGCTCAGCAGCCCCCGTCCCCAGCCCCCCCCCGCTGCTGAGAACTGCTCCCAGCACCAGCTGCGCTCTAGGCCCCCCGGGCTCTGGGGGGCTGCCGAGCCTGGACAGAGGCGAGCGCCTCTCGTTCGTTCTCTCTCCCTCTCTCTCTGTACGAAGGGAGGAGGAAGAGGAAGAGGAGGGGGAGGAGGAGGGGAGCCCAGCCTCTTCTTACCTCTCCCCCCCCCCCCCGCCCCGGGACGTACCCGGGGCCCCTCTAGCCCCACCACACCCCCCGCGCCCGCCCCCTTCACCTAGTCTCCAAAGCAGGCTCCGCTGCCCGCCTGCCTGGAAACTCGACGTCGCCGCTGCTCGTGAGCCGGGACAGGAGCCGGGACGGGAGCCGGGACGGGAGCCGGGACGGGAGCCGGTCCCGCGCGCGGCTTCTGCTACCCAGGAAGCCGCACTGGTTCCGTGCCTCCCCAGCTCGGCCAGAACCGGGGCTGCTCTTCGGGGCCGTCTATTCCCTCCCTCCTCCGAGGAGCCCCGCGCAGCGGGAGCGCGGCAGGTTTGGCCGGACTGCCCACCTGTGGCTCGGAGCCTCTCCCCTTTCCAGCCTGGGACTGCCCGTTCTCTGCGCTTGGCTGAGATCTCTCCCCACCTCCCAGCTCTGCCAAGCGCCTCTCCCCCCCTCCGCCCCCGCCTCCCCCCCCCCGGGCGCTTTGTTTGGGGCCAGCTCCCGGCGGAGCTGATCTATGCCGCTGCGGCTCCGTCGGGGGCGGCCGCGGACCGAGACTGCGAACAAAAGCCCTTTGTCCCGGGCGGGCGGGCCGAGCGGGGGCTGGCTCCAGGGCTCGCTCTGAATGAAGCGGGACCGCCCGCCGCTGCCCTTCTCCGCCGCCGCCGCCTCGGGGCCCCAGCCCGGCTGAGCCCCCGGCCGCCCCTCTCCGCCCCCGCCGGCCCCCGCCTCTGCCTCGCCCGCGCGCTCCGGCCAAGCTCCCGAGCCCGTTGTGCGAAGCGCCCGGATCCCCGCGGTCGTCCTGACATGCTGTGCCCCGCTCGGGCCCTGGCCCCGCTCCTGCTCCCTGCCCACAGGGCGCCCCGAGGCAGCGACCCCTCCCAGGGGCGGGAAGGAACGCGGGACTGAGACTCGGCCCCGAAGGAAGCTTCCCCGCCGGGCTGCCTCGGGACCGAGGCGGGAGACGCGTTTGAAGCCAGCCGCCAGAAGGGGCCGCCCGCCGGGCGCTGCCCGCGATGTGGGGCTCGGCCTTGGCGCTCTGGACTGCCGCCGGCATGGCGTGCCTGCAGAGGGGCCGCAGAGCTCCCGGGCCCGTGCTCGGGGCCGCCTGCCTCTTCTCCGTGGCTTTCGGACTGGGCCAGAGCGGCGGTAAGTGGGCTGCTTTCGTGGGCGGAGTGGCAGGGGTCGCGATGGGCACGGGGGGCACGGTGCCGAGCAGCCAGCTAAAGAGAGGAAAGGGCTGGCTTTATCAGGGTGGAGGCTCGAGCACCTGGACTGACCCCGGGCAGCTTTCAGCCAGGGCCCCTGGGTTGCGTGGCTGACGGCTTCCTGCCAGGAGGTGCCCGAAGCAGGTGCCTCCAGCTGGGCCAGGTGTATCACGTTTCCTTCGCTCGGGGCCAGGAATTAGGGACTGCACGGTGAGAAACCCCAGAACCGGAGGGCCTGGAATCCAGCTTCTGTTTACCGAGGAGACAAAGCGACTAAAGCAAAGTTAGACATTCCAGGGCCTCCTCGGAGAAGGACACTCTACAGATGCTGTGATCCCCGGGTCTCGTTCGCTGACCCGGGGGCTGAGGACTATTCTCTGTGTGAGTGGTGTGAGGGCAGTGAGGCAGATATTCTTGTCCTAGATCCATACGTGGAGGGGACCCGAAGGTCCATGTAGCCATTCAGCCCAACCACTTCACTTTACAGATGAGGGAACTGAGGCTCAGTGAGGTTTAATGCCTTACCCAAGGCCACACCGGTAATCCTAAGCGGAGAAATAGGAATGAGTCCATGTGCTTTGACTCCAGATCCAGCATTCTTTCCACTTCACTGCTCTGACTTTTAACGGAGAACTGTCACTTAAACATTATAGTTACCATAATAAACACATTACTGCAAATCCCTGTAAGGGGGGAAGAGGGGAACAGTACTAGCTCTGAAATTTGAAGGCTTGGATTTTAATCGTGCCTCTGGCATTTATTGGACTTGGGCAGGTCACTTAAAACCCCCTGGGCTTCAGTTTGCTCACCTGGAGAAGGAAGAGGTTGATAGGCGACTTCCAAAGTCCAGTCCACCTTCAGAACCATGATCTATGATCTGTCTCTTCTACCCCCTGCAACTCTAATCGGCATAGTAGCACCAAATGGTCCTTAACCCCATGGACTACTAGTGCATACCAGATTGCCTAGCCTCTTTCTGTAAAGGCCATTTTCCTGGACCCTCCCCCCAATCCTATAAACTAGGGAGCACACAGATATTAATATCCTATTTTACAGAGGAAGAAAATGAGGCCCAGATAAGTAAGGTGAGTTATGTTAGAGCTGGGATTCAAAGCTTAGGGATCTCCCGGACTCCCTCTTCATTCACTTTGGCTACTCTCTTAAGTCCTGATATCAGAACCTGAAGGATCTCTTTGCTCCTTCATCAACAAATCAACTGTGGTTTTAAAACAATGAAGTTGGTCTCGTTTATATTCTTAACTTTGCCAGGGTCTACTTTTTGAATTCTGATGTTAACCTTTACTTCACAGTCCCAGGAGCACCTTTCTTTGACCTCCCAAGAACTAGGGGAGTTTAGCTAGTGGAAATTATTTGGTAGAATAAAAATCAACTCCCACACTCAGACTCTGTATGCCAAGTTTCTGCTCGAAGCTAATTAAAGAGACCAAGTCTTAACCCTAAACAATAAGATTTATAATGGAATCACCATTAGACTCCTTTAGGGAGTTCAGCTTCCCGAAATAGTTTCAATGTAATTGACTAGTATTTTATTCTGTGAGATTCCTTCTCCATCCAGCCCCATATTAAAAAAACAAAAACAGAAACAAATAAAAAACAATTACTTTTCCTCCTGGTTGCTTTTGAGGGGCTACTTCTATGAATTGAGAATAACATTTATAAAGTGAGAAAACGTGCAATATTCAGCATAATTAATTACCAACCCAATGGAAGAAAGTATGGTGTATTTCTATTTAACACCCTTCAGTCCCATTTTAAGAGAAACTGACAAGGTGGCCTTGTCCAGGGCCACCTTTTAGAAAACATTCTAAACCTAAATAGTACACATACAAGGTCAGGGTCAATGAGCTGGAGGGGAATCAGGATTAATTCTTTAGTTGCAGGGAATGTGTTAGTGTTCTCAATCACTTTTCACAGTTGGGGTGCTTTGCAACCCTTTGGGATCACTTTGGGAGCCCCCTAAGGTATTCTTCAGTTCAGAAGAAGATACTTGGGTTGCTATCACTGAGGCACCTTGCACCTGTATTTTGAGTGCTTAGAAAAGTTCCTGAAAGATAATAAACATTTAATAAGTACTTGGTGATGACCTGATTGTACATTCAACCTCAAAGGCAACTTTCTATCCCTTAACTCTTAACACTAAGCAAAAGGTTTCTGATCTGTAGGATATATGTATGAAGGTTAGGGCTTGAGAAGGGACCTGGGAAACTTTAGCGTTGGGAGCTTTTAGTAAGGAATTCTCTCTCCCAATGAAGCTAGGCACCTTTTCTATACCTTATAGTCTTCTCCCTCCTCAAACCTCCCCACACCCTTGGAGCTGAGATCCTTGCCTCATATTTTACAGAAAACACCTGAGGCCATTGGCCACTCGCTCCCTCTTCTCCCCTTTTCCTTGTCTACTGTAGCTCAGATGCCTTCTGCCTCTTTTTCCTCCTTTTCCCCTGTTTCACATAATGAAGTGGTCTTACTCCTTGCCAAGGCTAACCCCTCTACATGTTCAAGCAGGCTCATTCATCCTATCTCCTCAAATAGATTAATTGCCTCCTCCGTCTCTCCCCACTCTGTCACTAATTTTCAATCTCTCCCTCTGTGCTGGCTCATTTGCTAGCTGCCTGAAATCCTGCCCACGTCTCCTCCATCCTGTGAAGACTGCCACTTAATCCTTCCATCTCTACTATCATCCCATTTCTCTTCTTCACTTTGTACCTAAAATCCTTGAAAAATCCATCTACGATAGGTGCTGCCTTTCTTCCCTTTCACTCTCTTTTTAGTCCTTTCCAGTCTAGCTTCCCAAGCCACAGAAACTGATCTTTCCAAAGTTATCAGTCTTCTTTCACTTGCCAAGTCCATTTGCTGTCTCGTAATCCCCATTCTGTTCGACCTCTCTGCACCCTAATACACTGCTGATCACTCTCTCCTCCTCCATACTCTCCTCTCTCTAGGTTTTCAGGAAGTCACTCTCACCTAATTTTCCTCCTATTTGCCTTACCAGTCCTTCTCTGTCTCCTTTGCTGGGTCCTCCTCCAGATCACACCTTCTAAATGTAGGTATCCCATAAGGTGGTGTCCTGGGCCCTCTTCTCTTCTCTCACTATACTACTTCACAGGGTGATCTCGTGAGCCTCAATGGATTTTATCATCATGTTTATGCTGATGATTCTCAAGTCTACCTATCCTGCCTCAACCTCTCTGCTTTCTTGCTCCTGCAACTTCCTTTCACACATCCCAAACTGGATGTCCAATAGCTATATTAAACTTAATATGCCCCAAAAGGAACTCAGTATTCTCCTTCATTAAAAACAAACAATCAAAACAAAACAAAACAAAACAACCCCCCTCCACCTCCTACCTTCCCTACTCCCTGCAGAAGACAATACCACCCTCAAAATCCTTCAGGCTCATACTCTAGAAGTCATCCTGAACTCCTCATTATTTCTCACTTCCCATGTCCAATCTGTTGTTGAGGCCTGTCGATTTTACCTTGGCAGCATCTCTCAAATATGCCCCCTTATTTCCTCTGACACTATCCCCACCTGGTGCAGGCCCTTATCACCTCACACCTTGATTGCAACAATAGCCACTCATGGCTCTGCCTGTCCCAAGTCTCTCCCCCCTCCAATCCACCCTCCATTCAGCCACCAAAGTGATTTTCCTAAAGTGCAGGTCTGACCATGTCGTTCCTACCCCCTATTCAATAAACCCCAGTAGCTTCCTGTCACCCCCAGAACAAAATACAAAAACCCCTGTTTGGGATTCCAAGCCCTTCTTCCTAGCCTCCTCCTCTCTTGCCAGTCTTCTCACACCTTTCTCTATAACGTGTACCCTTGGATGCAGTGACACTGGCTTCTAGGCTGTTCCATGAATGAGACACTCCATCTCTCAGCTCTGCCTCGGTTCTCTGTTATCTCCCATGCCTGGAATGCTTTCCTTCCTCATTCCTGCCTAAAGACTTCCTTTAAGTGCATCCTAAAATCCCTTCATCTGCAGGTTTCCCCAATGCTCTTCATTCTAATGTCTCTCCTCTCCTAATTATTTCCTATTTATCCTGTATCTAGCTTGTTCGACATGTGTTTGTGGTCTCCCCTATTGGACTGTGAGCTTCTTCAGGGCAGGGAATGTGTATCTCTAGTGCTTATCACAGTGCCTGGCACACAGTAGGCACTTGATAAATTGTTTATTGACTGTCTGACAAAAGGGTCAGAGACTGGCCTTGAATCCAAATCTCCCTGGCTCTCAGGCAGCTCACTGTGTTGTGTTGCATCATGTAAAGTGACCCTAGGTGTGTATTTTTAGAATTTAGAGGTCGAAGTAAACTGAAATCCTTACGTTGCGAAGTTACAGATCCCAAGGAACATATTTCATAACCAATAAGTATTTATTAAGTACCTTACTATTTGCCAGGCACAGAAGTTGAACGTCAGAGAGAATTATAGTTGTAAACTCTCAACTAAGACAGATAATGCCCTTTTCCATTCAGTCTAATTCAATATAGCAAGCTTTTTTTAAGCTCCCACAATATGCTGAGCTATGCCAAGAGCTGGGAAATTCAAAGAAAAAAATAAAACCAGTGTTTGCCCTCAAAGAGCTTTCATCCAAGAACCTTGGATTTAAAATCAAAGAATCTCAACTAAAATCTTGGCTCGGTCACCTAACCACCTCAGTGACCTGGGACAAGTTGCTTGGAATCACTGCTCCTCAGTTTCCTCATTTATAAGATGGAGATGTTACACTGGGTGCCATTTCAGCTTTAATCTACATTCCTGTGATCAGCTACTCCTGTTTTTAAAAATTAATTCTATTCTTAGTTGCCCGAAGCACAGAATGGTCAATTACTTTGTTCCTATAGGAAACTGCCTTTGACCTTAGAAAAGTGAACTCTATGGGTCTCAGTCTGGGACTAGCTGAGTTTTAAGGTCCCATCCAG